TAGAACATGACATGATACAGTTAGCATGTTATCTGAGAACATATGTTGACACAGTTAGCATGTTAACTGAGAACATGAGGAAACGAATTATTCTCTTTGTGGTTAAAATATTTACAGTCTTCAGTGCGTCCCTCTTGGACGGAGGTCGATGAATAAAATGGCTGATGGGGCAGAGCTGCAGGACTCTCGCTCAATCCTCCGATCAAACAATTAGTGAAAACATTTAACAGCGACCACACGGCCGCCCTCTGCATCGATCTGGATTGATTTTACTAATGTGGTTTCTGTAGCGTTGCTGGTGATAGAGCCACTTCCAAGGTCTCTGTGCTCATTATGGAGGCTATTCATTGATTGTGGTGAACAACAGACTGACAGGGGATAATTGAACAATGAGGCAGGTGAGGCTTTTCTTCACTGTGTTCAAATGAGACACGAAACTATCAAGCTCTTAGAAAACAGCTGATCCTCGTCAGCTGAGCAGAATGAAACTCAGACTGATTGACGTGTTCGTTGTTTTTAGCAACATGAAGTCTCCGAGCGTAAAGTTCAACTTTGGTGAAAATAGAAAGCAAAATGATTACTTTACCACTAATACTTCAAATGTTAATACAAATCAGGGGGTAATTATCATTCAAATCTTATTTAGTCTTAATTATTAGGAAAGTATCAGTGGATCGTCTGGACACAGTGCACTCTGTTGGTCAGAGCGGGAACTGCGTGAATCTTGATTCTCATTTTCAGGTTTGTAAATTACCCCCTTTGTTCGGCTCAGTTAAAAACACAGATTAGGAAGAAGAAGTCGTGACAGTCGTCGTGCAGCGGCTGGAAGCTGTTAAACTGTTAAAGAAGTTAGAAGAAATGTTCACTTTGTTAGAGGCAGTGTAACATTGAGCTGAGCCTTGAAATATTCATAGTGTTTACATTGTGCCGGCAGTCCGGCTGAATGCTGCAGGATCCATACCTTCCCACTGAAATGTGAATACGTAATGAATGTTAATGTGATCTGGATAAATGGAGCTCATTCCTGAGGAGGTCTCCTCCATGTTAATGGAACGCCGTGGGTGAGTGTTCTGACTCAAGCAGGGTCATTTTTTTCCTTCAGTTACATAATCCAAATAAGCCCGCTGTGACCTTGATGTGAAATGACCCGCTAAATGAGAGCGCCTCACATGACGTGATGGCGTGATGGCAGGGCGCACGTGTCCTTTCTCATCTTCCAGGAGCAGCATCCCCCGCACTCACATTTCTAATTTTGAACACTCCTAATTCCATGCCCCATTTCCTCGCCCCTCAGCTTGAAAAGAGTTAAATTTAGTTCCTAGTGAGCTGGTATGTAGCTGATGAAGAAATGGGACGGTGGAAACAAGGCCACACCGAAGCAGGTCTTGTTGTGAACTGATCCCCCCCCCTCCCTCCATCCCCCACAGGGAACCACGGCCTCATGGACCAGACCACGACTCTGAAGTGGCTCCAGAGGAACATCCGCTCGTATGGAGGAGATCCCAGGAAAATATTTGGAAAGAACTCAGGTATTAAAAAGAAGAGTGTGTTTGAAGTGAAGTCTCTGCTGCAATGACACACGACGAGTCTGTTACAAATGTTTTCATGTTTCCAACAACAACAGCAGCAACTAATTCCTGTTCCACAGCAAAAGATCCTCTGCGATCAAACTTATCTGTGTGTAGAAGTTGTGAAGTCACAGCAGAGCATGTGGTGTTTATTGGGCCACTTGAGAGGAAGCAGAAAAGGAAGTATAGATATGTACAGAAAAATAAACAGACGACATGACTCAGTTAGTGAAGCTGTGGTTGAACCCTAAGACTGACCACGTGCGGGCGACGCCTAACTGGTTGTGGATTTAATTGAGCTAAAATAAAAAACTGAAAGTTAGAACATTCATTCTTTTTGTCCTCCACCTCATCACATTGTGCTCTTTCATTTTATTTATTGCTTTTATTTGGACTGACAGACACAGACAGACTGAGACTCAACGGATGCTGTCGTGTGTTTTGTTGGTGTGATGCTGTGTGCTGAATTACAGAACTTTTATTCTGATAACTTGGGTCTGAAGCTTGTGTCGGTTGTTTAACAGAAATACTTGAAAAGTAATGTATGAGAAAATAACATCAGTTCAGTGAATCATTCAAACTGATGGTAACAACAACCAGGAGTGTTCGCCTCCTTGGTGTGTCTATGTTGAGGTCATTATTATGTTGAGGTCATTATTATGTTGAGGTCATTATTATGTTGAGATGTTATTAAATTGTTTGGTTCCACACATGTTTTATGTCACATTTTGCGCATGTCATCAACACAATTAGTAGAATGTTGGCTTCCCCATTGCTTCATACACATTTACAGATCGGCTTTCCGTGCGCCCTCTCCTGGTTGGGGTCCTCACAGGTGAGACTTTGGCTTTGACTTGCTGATCCTTTAAGGTTTGGTTCTTTGTGAATGCTTCTATATTTATTTAATTGACCGCTGTGACTAATGCAGCAACTGATAGAGAATATGTTGTTATGAGATTCAATTGAATCGAGACATCCAGGGGTTTGGTTTGTGATTTCTGAAAAAGGATCTGGAGTTCCCTCTAATGGACAAAATGGAGAATAGTGTTTTTGTGGCCTGTTGAAAGTTTTCTGTTTAAGTGCAAATTCCGTGGAAACGTAGTAGTTTTACCTGCAAATGTTTGCTTGAGGCCATGGCTGGCTTTATGAGAACGTCCTCTGTAGAATGAGTCCACACGCCCCAGATGTTTTCTAATACGTTTCCCACTCAGCCGTTAATATATTTGAATTCATAGGAATTTGTAGAAAAATGTTTTTCATGGCTTGAATGCCGTCTTTTATGTGTATGTTTGTGTCTGTAGTAAAAACGATGGCATCTGTCTGAACAGAGAGTTTTTAAAAACTTGTCCACAAAGTCATTATGTGTCTCTAAGTTTAAGATTGAGGTAGAAATTATAGAAATTCTGCAGAGTGATTATGTCACGATTTCAGTCTGAACTAATTGTTCTGACTGGTTGAATTTCTGGAGGTTTCAGTTTTTGGAAGCAAATAAAACAATCTGGCTTTTTGTTGTTTTTTTAGCATTTAGGACATTTCTGTAAAGGATGAGACATGGGGACATTTTTTCTCTACAATAGTGATGGTGTCATGGCAGAGGAAGTACATCCACTGGCAAGCTGAGAAAAACCCAGGATGTTAGGATGATGGTGGAATACTGCCTCCTTCAGGTGGTAATAAAAAGTACTGAAGAAATAACTCCAGTGTAGAGATGAATAAAGTCACTGATTATCAGTAATAACTGGTTAAACTAATCTAGTGATAAAACAAAATAAGGATCCAGCAAAAACTTTAAAAACCACAAACAAAAAACAGAGATTTGACCGAAGCTGTTCAATCATTTTATTGATGAAATTAAATTTGAGTCTATTTTGAGTTATTGATCATCCTTCAGTAAACCCATCACCATCATCAGTTTGTATCATAGCAAATCAAGAAGTGAGAAAATTATTCAACTAAAATCTGAAATGGCAAAAAAAAGCCTGATTAATTCCCCTAAAATTTCTACGGATATGCGGCTTCACCTCAGCTGAAAGAAATTATCACCCTCCACCTGTTGTCTGTAATATTAAATTGTTTCGCTATGAAAATGGAGGAACGCTAGCAAGCATAGCCGGGCTTAGAGGACAATCATGACACCAGGGGGTTTGAGAAGCTAACCTACTATGCTGCACATTAATATTGTTACTGTGCAACAGAAATCACGATGCAGGTGAACTCTCTGTAGGTCGACCCGTTCCTTCGGTCATCAACTCCCTGTTTGGTGGAAAAACATTAAAAACCAATTAGATCTATGAAGTGTATTTGTTGTGTTCTTATATTTGTGAACTGATAGACTTTATTTTTACTCACAGCATCTGTAAAGCCTGTTGACACGGAGAATGTCAGAGTAGCTCATGGATCTGGCACGTCCAAATGTTTGGGAGGGATTCTTGGCGACGATGGTTGGCTTTCCATTTTTGGTGAAGAAGTATCTTTAGCAGGACAAAAGCACAACATCATTGGTTTATGACGTGTCCACACACAAACACATGCACACACTTCTTCTTTACTCAGTTAATGTTTATTACTTTACTGTGGTATTATTATCATTTTCATTTTATAAAAAATCAGTTTCAGGAATATGTCTCACTCAAGTATCTTCAGTGAAGATGATATCTAATCAACACAGATGTGTGCACTCACACAAGGACTTACTTGCCGTAGTGCATGACAGAGTTGAAGTCATATCCAGTCCACAGATTGTTTGTGCTCACTCTGTTAAAGTTGTGTTTCTGTTCTGCACAGGTGGAGAGAACATTTAAAACAAAGCTCCTTTAATCAACAAATCCTTTCGTATTACTTATCCAGTGAAATATCTCAACATCCATTAGAGAGGTAGGAACCAAAAAAGTCATGAGATTGGTGGACTTTGTTATACTCAGTTTGGACTTTTGTTTTTGTATTCTTGACATTTTCTTGATTTTCATGCTTGTGTATCTGTTTTGTTCTTTTTTATTTTTTTAAATCGTATTGGATTTGACTGCAACACTGTTCTACCCCTGAGACCCCTGAAGTGTTTTGTGGAATGTATTTCGCCCTATTGTTTTTTCTCTAATTTGCCTATACAGCTGTGACCTTCTTTACATGCAGCCAAATTGTAAAAGATAAAATAAAGTTACACTGCGCCTGAGTTCATGGACTCTGCATCAGGAGGAACATCAATTTTACTCATATTTGTACAACAGATAAAACAGCAACAGTGAAATAACGTTTTTTGAGCGTGAGCTTACTCGGTATAATGTTCTGCCAGTTGATCCTAACATATTTGTCCCTGTCTGTGCGCTTGTGCTCGTGGTGGAAACCCAGAGCGTGGAGGACCTCATGCTGCACAACTTGGTTGACCACACACGCGTTTTTCTTCAGGGAGATATACTGTCGTCCACCCTTACGGCCAATGTTAGAAAAGCACCTGACAAATACACACACACACACAAGTGAATTCAGTATAAAAGAAAGAAACTGACACTTTCTCCGGCCAATTGGATTCATGTCATCTCTCTCCCATGGTCAGTCTCTATTGTTGATAACATTCCACATACAGACAGACGGACATTTCTACAGTAGAGGCAGCAGGTAGGTAACGACTCACAACATCCACCTTTACTGCTGACACACAGGATTCACAACTTGTATTTATTACGTTCTTCTGCGATGGTACCACATCTGTGTGTTTGTTTGTGTATTCCTACCCAGGTCCAGAGTAAAAGTAGATGTAATTCCGTTGCCACCAGTACTTTCTCCAAACAAATCGAATGCACGTGGTTCTGTGGAAAGACACCAGGCTTCTGATGATGGTGTTGCGCTCTGAACGTGCTGCGGAGACAAAGCACAGACTTTCACTCATCTTCACTTTGAATAGTGTTTAGTTTTCATCTTCAGCTACGGTAAAATGTAAAATCAGTGGATGTAAATGATATTGTTGTTTAAATAAATCAGATTTGAAATGACACCACAAGCAAGAACCAAAGTTTGCAAAATAAATTTCAAGTCTGCATTTCCAACAACAAACAACTTGTTTATGTTCAGTGGTGGAACAAAATATTCAGTTCCACACTTAAGTCAGTGTGAAAATACTCCATTCAAATACTCCATCAAGCTGCAGCAGATAAATCTCAGGGGTTGTGAGACAATTTGTGGGAAAAGAAAGAAGAAAAAACACAATTTAATTTAAATTTACATTCATTTTAAAACTTTTTATCTCAGCTGATACGTCTTGTATTTTCTACTGAAAAGATATTGTATGATTTTTGACCATGATGGAGCTTTTTTTAATTTCTGACTAGAAACAAATCTGACGTTGCTGACATAGTTTTTTGTTGTCAAACTGTTACTCACAGAAACGAGAGGAGATGGCCACTGGCACTGTGACGTAGCGTCCACGTTTGGGCCACTTGCAGCGAGAGTATGTGCACATAGCTGCGTTCCTCTGTGAACTGGGTGCAATGTCGCCATCGATCAGGTTTGCTGCAGAACAACAATACAGACACTTAATATTCAAACCAGTTTTATTTAGCCACAAAAATTGATTTGTATGAGTATAAGTTTTTTCTTACGTGAGCCATCATTAGCATCTGAGATGATTTCAGAGAGGTCTGCAGGTAAACACAGAAAACAGGAAATATCACAAACAAGCAGCAGCAGTTTCACATGTGAATTATTAACATTTTGTGTTGTTATCGAGGGAGAACTCTTCATTATTTAACTCACCTTTAGTTTTGTGGCTTTGAATCTGGTGACTTACGTGACCTAAAAATAATAGCGATAATATTTTCCCATCACTAGGGCGGCCATGTCTCTAAAAACACTTTTGCCGACAGGTATCGGCTTTTCAGGTGTCACAGTAAAAGTGTATAGTGCAGCAGGGTATAGTTCTCACTCTTATGTGTGTGTGTGAGTTGCTATACTTTTACCTTGATGAGGACAATTTTAAGCATAGACCCTACAGAGTGAGGACATTTTTGGAAAGTGAGGACATTTTGACTGTTAAGACTTGGTTTTTGGGTCGGGCTACAAAATGCATTAAGCCAATGAATGTCCTCACTGAGATAGAAGTACAAACGTGTGTGTGTGTGTGTGTGTAAAGACAAAATAAGTAAAAATTCTTGGACACTCATCTTGGTGTAAATATTTCTGAAAAGAGTTTCCCCAAATGATTTGAGGATTTTCTGAATTCTGTGATGCCTGCAGAGGACGATTAAACGGATGTTTTTACTGGCCACAGTCAAGTTTTACGGATGGTCAGTGTGTGTGTGTGTGTGTGTGTGTGTGTGTGTG